GGGGGGGGGGGGGGGTATGCGGAATAGCGGTAGTGATCAGGGGGTCCATTTGTGAAAACTCCCGCGCTCACGGCGCAGGCGGCTGCACGGCGCCACGCAACGCCCACCGGGCGCGGGCGGCCGGGCACCCGCGCCGCGCGCCGCGCGCCGGGGCGCGGGGGCCGCGGAGCCAACCCGGGCGGCGCTTATGCGGCGGACGCGCGCGCCCCGCTCCAGGCGGCCCGGCGCGCGGCCTTGTTGAAGACGTCATCAGCCCAGGAGCCCGCCGACCGTCCCCTTCCCGACAAGCGTGGCCGACTTGCCCTTGCCGAACAGGCCTCCCTTCCCAATGTCGGGCACAACGGGCACAACGGCCTGCACCAGCGCCGCCGCCTTGCCCTTGCCGAAAAGCCCGCCCTTCCCGACCTGCGGCGGCACGAACGCCGGCTGCGCCGCCGGCGCCCAGGCCTTGCCCTTGCCCTTGCCGATGTTCACGAACACGGGAGTGGGCACAGGGGTCGGCACGGGGGTGGGGACATAGACGGGTGTTGGGACGTAGACAGGGCGGTCGACGAAGACTTTCTTCTCGACGACCACTTTCTTCTCGACCACGACGGGGGTGGGGACGAACACGGTGCGGACCGGCGCCACCACCGGGCCCTTGCCCTTGCCGAGCAGCGCCGCGGCGATGACGGCCTTGCCCTTGCCGACTGGCGGAAGGGCGGGGGTGGGGGTTGAGTGGAGGATGGGGCGCGGCTGGAGGACGGTGATGAGGGTGGCGTGGGCGTATGGGGGCGGGGCGGTGCTGCTGCTGCGACCACGATAGCTGAGGCCAGCCGTACGAGGGTGTGAAGCATGGCTGACCTGCTGCATGCGATAGCGCCTTGGGACAATGTGCAGCCGGCAAGCATGCAAGTGCGGCACAGTGCGGGGCGACGCCGGCAGCGGAGCGAAGCAGCAGGGGCTCACTGATGTCTGCCGACGTCGTCGGCGCCAGCGCAAGCGCCAGAACGAGCAGCACGATGGGACTGGCCTTGAAGAGCGCCATGACTGCCACTGACACCAGCACTGGTGAGGCTCCTGCTTGCGTGCGAGAGCGCAGGGCGATGACCACTCGCGGCGGGTGACACCGCTGGTGCGTCTGGCTAAATGATGCCAGATATACTGTTTCGTTGATGGCGCCTCTGCAAACCGGTGTGCGATACGGTGACCGGCACCGTTTGTAATGTGGCCACCGCACCAGAGATCGTCCGACGCGCTGCGGTGAAATTTGTAAGCCGGAGTCGAACTGCGGTTGATAATGCGCTGTCTCCCGGCTGATGCCAAACGCAACCAAGATCTGTAATAACCCGGCTTTCCTTGTTGCTGCCAATCCTCGTTTGCTTCCCTTTTTGCGTCCCCCCGAAGCAGCAGAGTTTAGTGTAATGTCCATTCCCACAACCATCCACCTGCAGCTGACCCCGGTCAAAGTCAGCGATCTGGCACTGCACACATCAGCAACCGCAGCCTTACGAGACGCGAGAACCGGTTAGGAGGCCAATCAATTTTACAGAGTTGCTCCGAATTGATCTGCCTCAACGTTCTGCTACATCAGAGGCCTGGGTCGCAGGGGGTGGCCCTCTCATGGGCCCAGGTGTGCAGGGGGGCCCCCGCTGTGGGCCATGCAGCTCAAGGCTGCTGGTGCACACATGCAGCATTTGAAGTGTGCTAGTCCGCGTTGGCAGGCAAATGGGCAGAGACCAGCGCTGCGGCCAGGCCAGGTCGCAACACACGCTGCGGCGCTCCCCCGCTGCTGTGCAGCTGGTGACTGCCTTGTCTCGAGTTCGTCAGTCCTTCCCAATTTTCAAGAGCTATCGGAGCGCTACCCGCGTTTCCAGTCCCGGGTGTTCTGCTCCCTCACGAGAACGTGTGTAAGTAAGAAATCACTACACACAATGTGTGTTCAGCTGTGGAGGAAGCAAGCCTTCGTTCCTTTGTGGGTGCGTTGCAAACAAGGGCGGGTTTAGAGTAGCAACGCGCCGCCCAGAGCCGCTTGCGCATGTGCAGGGGCAGGCGGACGGACGAGCCGCCCGGGCGACAGGAATTAGCTGATCAAAAACCGGCGGGTACCCAGCAGCTGCGCTCAAACACAAATGGAAGCGGAGTGCGAACCTGGGACCTTGGATACCGGCATCAATCAGCCTGGATCAGATCGAGGCCTGATTCAAATTCAAACTCCGAATCTCTCTATCAATGCAGAGCAGATCTCTCGCTCTCTCCCGCGCGCCGCATCCGACACCAGAGAGCTTGCGCGTGCCTCAGGCCAGCGACTGCTTCCGCGAGTCCCCAGCGCCGCCCGCGCTGTCACCGCCGACCGACGACCCACCAAACGCGAACGAGCCCTCTGACTGAGGCTGCTGCTGCTGCTGCTGCTGCTGTTCTTGCTGCTGCTGCTGCGGCTGCTGCTGCGGCTGCTGCTGCGGCTGCTGCTCGACCTGCGGCCCGCCGACCGGCGCCCCGCCCGCCGCCCTGACAGCGGACGCTGCCGCCGCCGCCGCCGCCGCGGAGGCCGCCGCCGAGACGGCCGCGGCTGCGGCCATCATGTCTGCGCCCAGGCTGCCCACCGGCGACTGCAGCACGCTGCCAAATGCGCCGCCGCCGCTGACGCCGCCCGCAGCCGACGCGACCCCCGGGTCCGCCGGCGGCGGCGCGCGCGGCGGCGCGCGGAGCGGCGGCGGGG